CATAGACCAGAATACAATGCTGTTCATATTTTTCGCAAGACACTGACTTACTATTTGCTTTTCAGATGGCTGCGCCGAAACAATATGGGGTTATTTCCTTTCTCAAAGGAATATGCGATAGAGACAGAGATCGTCTCTTCAGCCGATTCGAGCGTGATAGCTCCGGAATTGAAGGCATATCGCTTGGGGACGGTGTCATTACGCCCCACGTGTAGATGCTGCTACTGTACATGAATTTCAGCGTCATGAGAAAACTGGCTATACGTGTTATTTAATGCGTTGCGACAGCTTTATTAGGATGATAATTTTCTACTCAAAGGGTGTTCCCGGGATTGCAGCAACGACATTCGATATGGATGTTAATCACGAAAAACACTGACATTAAATTTCATTCTGAAGAAGGTCAGTGAAATAGAAAATGAAGTATCTGTAGTGGTCCGCCTTTTAGATATGCATGTTATATTACACTGCCAAATAAGTCACATTTTTGTCTAATCAATAAATGACTGTCTCATAGAGTAGAAAATTATTTCATCGCAAAGCAGAGTTCCGTTGTTCGATTATTTTGCGTTGCATTTAAAGAGGAGCAACACATGATGTACAAAGTAAGCGAGGGGCTTGAAGGCACAAGCGGAATGCGCAATAAAAATAATACGCTTCAGGAAATGCACGAAAATACGATAATTACCTTTTACGTGTGGCCAGTTCCCAGTTGAGACGGGCAAGCTGAAGTTCATAAAAATCGTTGCGGGTGACATCCTAAATCAGTTGTTGAATAAGCATTATTTTATTACATCCATACTGGCTTGGAGACGCTAACTGGAGCTTCTTCATAAAACTGTTCTGTTGGTATCAGGTCAATGTCGTCCTTCTTGGACCTAAATCAATATAAGGATTAAATTTCGAGAAAGCAAACAATTTTAAGGTAAAAGGAAAAATAGGGAGAAAACGCGGTCTAAGCCGGACTTCTGCCAAGACGACATAAGTTTCTGATCATTACCACGATGTAGCTCTAGCTGGGTTCACTAAGAAACTTTGAACTAGAACTACAACTTCATCTTCCATAAAACTAGAGTGTATAAACAATCAAATGCATATTAGAGCAGTGCGAACAATAGGCACAGTGGATTCTAGAGAGACAAAAACAGGGCATGGTAATTTTAGAAGTTGAAGTCATTTACTTAACGAACGGTCATCTACAGAATTATAGCAGGTATTAGAAATGTTCGAGCTACTCAAAAATCAATTCGCATTATTTCCTCATATTCTTTGATAATTTCTGTTTATGGAAGTGATAAATGGAGATATTCTTTAAAATCTAATCAAGGTTTTTCGTTCCCATGCTCATCTATGGCTGAATCACACGTGAACCTGAGAAAAATCACTGGACTCTCGCGTCTCGACGGAGTCAGAAGTTCAGATATTCGTTAGACCCTTGGTTTACAGCAGCTGCTTTTCCAGAATAAAGTCGCAACGAAATCACGACTCTATGGTTAAGGCGCGTGTTGGGAACGCTTTTAGAAAGAATGGCTGAACAACTACTACTTGCTGAAATGAACGACTAAAGATCACGTTATGGCTAAGAATGACCGAGGACAAATGCCTCGACAGAGTCTGATTGAGGCTATAGTTATCTTCCATCATTGCTCATGCGAGCACAAGATTGGAATGAACGATGAAGACAGGCGCTGATGCTACAGCCTGAGAGCCGAAAGGAGAAAGTCATCAAAATTGACTGTCTCAAAAGCTAGAAGCAAATTTATTTACAGAAGACATTTTCAAAACTGCACTATGTGATGAAAGAATTATAATTAAAGGGGCGGTGCAAATCAAACAGTCACAGGAAAAGTCGTCGTGTGGCAGAAAAAATACATATTCCGGTGTCATCAAAAGAATTTACGAAACCGCTATACGTTGACAACGATTTAATGATGAAAAATGTGAAAATTTGCGGTAACGGAAAGACGTATACGTAGTGAAAATAGAAACATCAAAAATCAGTTAGGCTGGCCAAGATAAAAGCTTTTGACATGGCAGTTGTAAACCAAACAATTAAAAAAAGCAGTGCTTGAAAACCAACTGGTATCTGAAAAAATTATTCACATAAACATGAATTTAACAGATGAAAACATTCCTGTGAAGATTTCTTTTACTAAAGACATTAGGCAAGTGTGAAAAGATTTCCTACAATTAGATTCATTAAATAGATTCAGCCATCCCATAAAAATTATAAGCTGTTTGTACGCCTGAGTATGCCAAATAACGATTCAATCCTTCAAAGGCAGATTTCACGACGTATTGCACGGCCTCTCGCAAATACCGATTGTTTTTGAGCATCTGCATCATTCTGACTGCTAGAGTCACTTGCGCTGATCAAGAACGATGCTTCCGCAGTTCATACTCCTTATATACTACCGCATAAACATCATAAGCAGTTCGCAGACCCGAGTACGTCAAATAACGAATGACTTCTCCAAGAGCACATTTCACGGAGTATTACACCACCCCTTTGCTCGCAGTTGCGTAGAGGAGCCACTTAAGCAGGCCAAGTATCCACAGAAATCTTGTCTTTGGCTGCATATTTCTGATTCAAGTTTAATTCAGTCCGCTCAAAGACATATTACTGACAGTTCGACTTACATAAAAATCAATTATTGGCGTCAAACCGCAGTTTCTGTAGTACGAAGAAACCAGACATTCAATTTAAATGTTCAATTCCGCAACTCAAAAGGGAATCATTTTTTCTGAGTCAATTACAAATTAGAAGGACAAAAAGTTTCATTAATGAGTTGAATAAAACTGCATGAAACAGAAAGCAAGCCTTTAGTAGAAAGCCTCCATCTGCAAAGCAATGCCGCCTTTCACAACAGCCATATGAGCAATCGTTAGAACTATTTAATACATTTCAGTTATAGATATACTTTGACGTACGAAAATTTTCACATGCTTTTCTTCTCTTTCTAAACGATGTGAGATTGAATTGAACTGAATTTCTTCCCTTATTAATCTCTCAATTCTTCAATATTTTTATTGCATTGCTTTACTAAATTTGTATTTTAGAAAACCGTAAGGTAGGTTACAGAAACGGAATAAGCGTGAGCCGAATTCACTCTTTTTTGCAAACTTTGAAAGACAAGGAAAAGATACCTAAGTAATGCACTGAGCTGACTGTATCACCGATTTTCATCAGTACTGGTGCCCTCCCACACTGTTTTTAAAACAGCCAAAAACTCTTCAAATGGTTTAAAGAAAACTCAAATTTGCAGAATGCTGCAGAATGCCAATGTGAAATGTTGAGTATTGCAACACCAACAGTACAGATAATACACGTTTAAACATGAGTACTCACTTAAATTCCAAGCAGTGTACGACTTCATTTTCAATGTGAGACACTTCATATAGCAGATTTTGCAACTTCAGGTATTGTTCATCGACTTTCTGTCTTTCCTATAAGAAGACGGGCATTATGATAAGATAAAAAGAAGACAAGACAAATTTACCTGATTAATTTTATCCTTGGCGATTTTATTCCTGAACTGAGAAATGCGGTTGCACTTTCTAAGTTTCAGTAGATCTAAGACTATCTCCTCTCTTAGATTCCTGACAAAATCCACTTCTTCATCAGCAATATCACACTTGCTGTATTGATCAAGTAACATAAGCAGGTGTTCACATTTCTCGTGAAACGCGCTATAATCGCTTTCTGCTGTGCTTTGATCAGTTTCTGCATCTTGTACGGCGAAATACTCCTGTATGCAAATTGTTTAAAACAATCCAAAACTACGTAAAAATATAACTTGCACAGAAATAGATTTGGATTCATCGGTAACTGCCGTCGATTCTTCACTGTTTACGATCCTTATACTTGGCTGCATTTAACTCTTCCACACAGAAACTTTCAATTTTTCCTGTACACAAGAACAATGCTTTAGTACTAATGACAGAACTGCAAAAATACTACTGCAGTGTATTACCGATATTTCTAGTCACTTTAAGCGCGTTTTTTCATGATTACCGCTGCTCCACAAGGAAGAAGTGAAAGATTATAAAACCGGTTAAGACTGACAACATTTATTTAGTCACGCTTTGGGAACACACGACGGTG